CCCAAGGGGAGATGGAGAGGGAGAGGGGCAGCAAGCAGGGCTCCTACAGCAGGGAAGCTGGGGCAGAGAAGAGCCACTGGGAAACAAAGGAGGAGGCCTGGTCAGCCGTGAGCTGTGGTGAAAGCAAATCGAGGAGGATACAGGCTGAAACATGGACATGGGTGTGACCAGTAGGAGAGCCCTGTCATTCCAACAGGAGCTGGGATATAGGGCTTCAGGTGAGTGGAAGTGGAGGCATAGAGAAAGGGTAGATGGATCATCGCCGAAATATGATGAGAAGAAGCAGGACAGTGGCTCAAGGAGATGTGACCAGTAATTTCTTTATGTTTGTTTTGTAGTATTTGTCTTCACTTTACTTTTGTTTCCTTTTAAACATTTGATTTGGTTTGTTTCACAAGAGAAACCTGATCATGATTAAAGCTACCAGGAAAAACAGAGAGAGAAAGGCTGAGGGTAAATGATAGTGATTTTCCACAGAGACAGCAGATTAGGAGTTGTCAGAGGCCAGGGGTCAGGAGGAATGGGAGTGACTGCCTAACTGAGGTGGACTTTCCTTTGGGGTGATAAAAGCTTTATGGAACTAGATAATGGTGATGATTTAACTGCCTCCTGGATTTACTAAGCACCACTGAATTTTATACTTTGAAATGGTTAAAATGGCTGCAATGACAAACATTTAAAAGCATGTATTTCAACACACACACGCACAAAGTGGTCTTATAAATGCAATCTGTGGTGAGTTTTGTGTAGTTCACTTAATTTAGTTCTCACAACTTTATGATAACTTTTGACAGCTTTACTACCTTCATTTTATGCAAGAGAAGACTGAGGTTCAGAGAGAATCATTAATCCAAGGTCATATGACTCACTCTGAGATTCCAGCTCACATGGATTTAACTACAAAGCCCAAGCTCTTAACCACACTCTTTTATAGTGCCTCTGTCCCTACATTATTTCCTAGATACATGCACTGGTAATGTGAATTGACTCATATCTGCCAATGTGTTAGTCAGCATTGTGTTACTGTAACAAAACACTTGAAGTGATCAACTTGAAAAGATGAAAGCTTTGTTTTAACTCAGGTTTGGAGGTTTTAGTCTCTTGTTGGTCCGCCTCAGCTAGGTCTGTGGCAAGGCAGCAGATCATGGCAGAAGTGTATGCTAGAGGAAGTTGCTCACCTTGTGGCAACTAGGACGCAAAAGAGGGCTTTCCTGCTATGTTAATGGTACAAATAAGATGATGAGAGTATCTGTCTATCTATCTATCTTTCTCAGTACTAGGGATCAAAGCCAGGTCCTGGGCTACATCCTCTGCCTTTTTTAAGACAGGGTTTCAGTGTGTTGTTGCCTAGGCTGGGCTCAAACTTGTGATACTTCTTGGGATGACAGGCATATACCACCATGCCCGGATTGTATTTTCTTTATTATTCTTTTTGATGGGACACAGCTTTGATGAACAGTGTTACAGCTTATTTTAATATAAGGAAGAAAAAGATTTTAGAGGTAGTGTGCTTCTCTGAAGATGTTACAGGTGCATAAAACACGAGCAGAGAGAATGAAAATACACAGGGGGATGGCTAAATCTGTTTGCGGAGTGTGGAAGGTACAGGAGCAGCCATAATAAGGAAGCCTTCTCGCTGTGGTGACCCACAACACAGGCTGAAAGGGAGTGCCAGTCATCACTGGGTAGACAGGAGGAGGGAGGCTCTTGGGAATGAGAGCACCGATCACCAAGACTGAGCCCAGGAAGGACGAGGAGGGACGGAGAAACAGACTGGGCCAGGGGTATGCTTCATGCCCTCCCTTTCCTGATCCTCCCTCAGCCCTGTTCATTCTCTTTCCAAAGTGAACCGTGCAATATGAATTTGCTTTGCTCCAAGCTGTCCACAGGACAGCATGGCCTTGTTCCAAGCGGCTTCCTTCGGTCCTCAGGGAAACAGAAAACCTCGAGGCCTGGCCTCTCAGCATTCTTCGAAGGCCGCTGGGGCCCGTGCCTTCCTGCTTTGTTCTGGGATTCTGTGACGCTCGGGCACTCACCCAGGGCAGCCCTTACTCAATGGCGTCTTTGATTCTCTCCCAGTTGGACTGTCAAGGATGGTTGGCCTGTGGGAGGGTGCTGCGTGGTGAACTGCAGAGAAACAGCTATTGCACTTGTCCTGCTCCAAGTAAAGTTTCTTTTCAGAATTGCCTGTATACTGGGGATCAGCCGCCTTTGCTGTGGACATCGCCCAAACCAGTTCCCCCCAAGTGAGCCACTGGTCTGAGGTCTGGCAGGTCCACAGTTCTTTCCCGCTTGTTAGTGCTTTTCCTTCTTTGGGGGGATGGGTTACACTTTTTGTTGTTTTTGCCGTTTCTTTGGGATCTCTTATGTATTTAAGAGTTTTTCCTGTTTCTATATACTATTGCATTTGCAATACTTTTGCAGTTAATGAGACATGCGCTTGTTTTTAGTTTCAGAGAAATAAAGTGACTACCACTTTAGGCTCAGGACAGGAACAAACAGCTTTGTATCTCAGTTTCACCAGTTACCAGGATCTAACTCTTCAGTCTCAGTTTCCCCAGTGTTAGATGGGGTTAGTAATCTTGGTCTCCTATGGCAGCGTTTTGAAGACAAGTGAAGTAGCACACGGGCCTGTTGTAGGGTCATAAAAAAGGGCAATTTTATTTACTTCTTGTATCAGTTAAGGTGTTCAGGAAGCATGGCCATTAACAGAATATGGAATTTGGGGTTATCATAGGGTTTAGGGTTCACATAAGTTTGGGAGCTGGCTAAAGTTCTGCAGAAGGCTATTGCCTCGGTGTCTACTAGAGGGTCAGAAGTTGCACCAGGTCTAAGAATTGGCAGTCAAGTAGAACCCACACGTGCAGTAGGGTGAATCAAGAGCAAACTGGAATGCAAACTAGAGCCCTTGAGGAGGTAGAATTCATGTCATTTCTCAGCACTTCTAACCTCGACAATGCGATTACCCTTAGAAGCAGCTACACCTTTCACCCAGTGTGTGCATGGGTCCTGGCCTGGCCTCAGGAGCAGAGTCTGCATGAGTTGGAGGAACCAGAAGCCTGGCTGCACCCCACACCAACACACAGGGGCTGCAGGAATCCAGCTATGCTGGCCTTCAGTGAAAGGTGGCTACCTGAGTGTCATGCAAATGTCCCTGCAGCCAGTCCTAACTGAGAGCCGCCCAGAAAAGGGAATCCTGGCAAACAGTGCTAGATTAGTAAATTGCTACCACAGGAAACCATATTACTGAAAACAGGAAGGGCAGCAACTAACATTTATGGGGACCCAACCATAGGCCTTTACACACCTCATCTCATCTGGCCTATGCTTGGATGTGACAAAGGCCTTATCTCCATTAATGGATTCGCTCCAAGTTCCACATCAGCCAGCAGAGTTAGAACCCAGAACCAGGCTGTGGGAGCCTGCACCTTTTCACCAGAAAGTGTCCCGTGCAGCTGTGGTTTTTTTGTTTGTTGTTTGGTTTGGTTTTTTGTGGGGTTTTTTTCAGTACTGGGATCAAACCCAGGGGTTTATACAGTGCCAGGCAAGCACTGTGCCACCCCTAACCCCAAATCTGGGATTTTCTCTTTGGGGACTCTGTTCCACCAGGTAAAGTTTTTAATGTCCTTGCAGGTCCACTGGACTGACAAGGAGGAGGACAGCCCCTCCTGAGCTCCTTGGGGTCGGGCTGCACTGGGCAATCTCTAAATAGCTAAGCTGCACTCAGCAGAGAGATTATAAGAGCAAAAACAGTCAGTATGTAATTTTAATTAAAAAGTACTTATCCACTCCAAAATGCCCCCAACTTAGAGCAAAGCTTAATGGGGCAGGGTAGGAATGGGGATGGTACAACAGGGAGGATGAGAAGCACAAAACTTTCTGAAAGGCAAAAAGCATAAAGCCCTTCTGAGAGTCCACATGGTCAGGTCTACGGTCAGGATTCAGGCCCTTAGAGAAACAGTGGTTGGATGGTACAAACCCCTTGCTTAGTAGCTTGTTTGTTTTTAAATAGTTTCTCTTTTCATCCTGCAATAAACATTTACTGTCACCTGCGATGTGCTACTGAAGCGCTAGGCACTGAGGTTACAGTGTTGAATGCCACAGTGGCTCCTCTCACAGGTTCAGAGGAGCTGCCCCTCCTGTCTTAGGGTAGACTGGCCCCAAAGCAGACTCTGAGCTAAAAATGAGAATGTAAGCAGTTTATTGGGAAGGAAACCCAGGAAGCACCAGTGAGGGACTTGGGGAGTGGGACAGGGAAGTGACATGGAGGAAGCCAATTCAGGGTGCGCTGGTGAGCAGGGTACTGCAATGGGCACTGGAGGCCCAGCCCTGCTGGGGACCTGGAACAAATGAGATGGGGATGCCAAACTCGTCTCCAAGACATTGGGAGGTATGTCCAGCAACCCTTGCCCACCTGTGGGGAATCTGTGTGCAAATCTCCAGTGCTTCTAGTTGGCTCTGGGCACTGCCTGTACATGCTGCAGAGGCCTGAGGAAACCTTCAGGCAGAGACACAGGGCTTTGCAGTAGAAAGCCACTGGCCTATATGGGAACTAAGGCATCTGCTATGCCTGTCTGACGTATACTCACGTAGCCATCCTTCTTCTCTTCATCACTATCTTTGGCTTTCATTCAGGTGTTTGCCTGCCTCCCACACAGCCCTGTGCGTCAAGGAAGCTGAGCTCACCCTGCTCTAGAGATCCCCTCCCCCTGCAGAGACAATCAGCACATTCCATTCCTCTGGCATGGCCGGGCTCAAGTGGGTCTGCGACCCCACCCAATCCGAGTGGCTCGCAGGACTCCTGCTTGGAATCCTGGGGCAGAACCTGCTCTTTTAGATAAGGAAGTTAGTGGCAAGGAGAGCTGTTGGCACTTGCTACAGGGAAGAGAACCAGCCTACAGATACATAGGATGGCAGAGGCAAGAGGACGGCAGAGAAAGTCACAGAACTTTCACTTTGGGGCACCTTGGTGACAGGCGCCTCTTTCTCTCCCACTGCAGGCAGGTCTCTACCACTGCACTCAGAACATGGAAAGAGAGAGCTTCTCCTGCTGTTGTCTACACACTGGTCCTAAACAATTCTCTGTGGACTGTATCATGTCGGTGGGTTGGGCCTGGGCGTTGTGCCCAGTCTTGTAGCCAGCGGAGGCAACCAGAATAAAGGCGAATGGAGGACCTTGCTAGTGATCCTCTCTCGACACAAACATTAGCTACCGCTGTCCCCTGGATGGTGTCTTGCCTCATTTTAGGCTGCTTTCCTGTGTTATCCCCTGCTGCCTGCATCCCCTCCACTCCGAAGAGCGCAACAGACATAGCAGGCACTCAGCGAGCAGCTGCTGAGCAGAAGGAAGGAAGCTTTTGCAGCTCCTGGCTCCGTGCCTCCTCTCTGATTCTGTTTCCCTTGTCCCCTGTTCCCAGTGCTCGCCACACTTCCCCCGTGGCCTGCCATCCATCTCTCACAGCTGGGCTGAGGTCTTCCCATGCGCTCCTTCAGTCCCCAGAGAATGAGCTGCTCTCTCCTCCCTGGCCCACAGCAGCCTGGATAGAGGCGGCAAGCAGCACTGGGAAGCACAGAGCGCAGGTGTGCACTTCAGCCCCTGGGACCTTCCCCCCGCCCCCGCTGTGTGCTGGGTCCTAGGAGACATGGGATCCCAGGATGCCACTTCTCTGAGAGGCCACCTCCTCATCTCTCAGGTGTGTCTCAAAGTGTGGCTGGGGCACATAACATGTACACAGGGCTCCGGCTGGGCACTAGTCGATCCCTTACCTAGAGCTGCTTACAGAATCCATGTCTCTTATAGACTTTGTTTCTTTGCTCAGAAACCCCTTATACAGCACGTACTGCGGCCTGGTACTCTTCTAAGTAAGTATCCCATGACCGTTCCCCTATTACAGGTAAGGAAACTGTTGCACAGACAGAAGTTGGTTGTTTGCTCAAAGTCACACAGGATTCAAACCCAGGCATCTTGACTTCAGAGTCTGTGCTATTAGGTTCTTGGGTATGACACCTCCTAGAATATGACACTGTGTCTGTGGAATTAACATATATGATGCATGGATGAGCAGAAGGATGTAAGTCTTCTCCATGGACTAGAAGACAGAAGAGGATTCCTGTCCTTGTCCTACCCAGCTGCTCTAGGGAGGGCTTGGAGACACAAATGGAGAGCTGTCTCCCCGGACCCGTGGAGCTGCAGCAGGTACGGGCTTCGGATTTCCCTGAGTGGGTACCTCCTTGAGCTGCAGATGTGGTTCAGCCCACCATGAGGGTGCACTGGGTTTTGTAGCCCATTTGCTCTCTTGGGTCTCTAGGAACCAGAATTATACTTTTGGCTTTCACAGTTGGCATCAAAAATATCTATCTCCCCAGTCCACTTGGGGACTTCTTCCCCTCTCCTCTGCACATCCACTCTGTGTCTACTTGTTCTGGCTGCTACATCTGGGATGTTACCATCTGCATGAAGCCGCAGTCTGAGCTCTCCAGCATCAACTTTCTCAGTTGCTGGCAAGGTGCACATGTTCCCAAAGTGCAGTGGTGCCTCTGAGGACATTACTGCCTTTGGCAGGTCCCAGACAGCTGCCATTTCTTCCCCAACTGTCTGGAAAATCCACTGAAAGTGTGGTAGGCCTGATGAGTTCCTAGTGACATTGAAAACGTTTCCTTGCCATATCCATGTACAATGGGTGCTGGCTGGGGCCTATTGAGATGATAAGGGGTCAGAATGAGGCCCAGGTGATCTTCCTGGATCTGCCAGAAGGAAGTCTCAGTGTTTCCACTTCCTGGCCTACAAAGTCCTTCTCCAAACCACTCTCGAGGCAGCCCCTTCTCATCACTTAACAAGGCCATTGGCCTTCGTGTAGATGCCAGCTCTCCTCTCCTCCTCCTTTGAAAGATCAAATGCCTTTGGTGGCAGCACCACAGTCCCTATTTTACTGCTTTCTGGAATGCAAGGAAGTGAAGAGGAGGTCCCAGAGCATCCTCAGCTCTCTTCCCTGCCATTCAAATACCTGAGGATGCATCCTGGCCTCTCCACAGCCAGTCTCCCTGTGGGGATCCACTCAGTTCCATGCTGACCTTTCTTCAAGCACATTACTACACCGGAAATGAAAGGAAGCCAGACCTGAGGCCCCCGCACCCCTCCAGGAACACTGTCAGGTGGAGGCTGACGGTGACAGGGACTGCCAGCTGGAGCTGCTTCAGAGGCACCAGGCATGCACGCTGCTGCAGAGGCCCCCTGATTTAGTGTGAGATGAAGATATTTTTAGGGATGAATCTGGGCCTTCCTTCTCTCCCTCCCTCTGATGCTAAGTAGCCATCTGCATCTCCCAGACAGCCTCCACAAGCAGCGCCCTAGAAAAGCAGGCTAGGGAAGAGGCTGTTATTAAATATAGAATACGAAGCTGCTGCATCAGGAGGTTGAGAGAGCAAGAAAAGCAGGAGAAACTCAGGACCTACTTACTTCTTCTGGGACCCTCACAAGTGCTCCCCTTTCCCCATTCGTTCATTCATTCATTCATTCTGTTACCCAAAGGGCTAGATAACATTTCCACCCTCACATTGCATAATCTTTTCCTTGAAGCCCTGAGTTGTATAAACTCCCACACGTGGTCCCAGTCCAGCAGGGAATCATGGTGGCTGCTTTAAGTTGTGACACCCTGAACCTGTTCTTCTCCATGTCCCATGACGACCGTCACCAAGGGTGGCTTGTATGAGGTGACAAGGGGCTCTGATCCAAGAAGTTCCAAGGTGTGGCTCCTTCTGTCCAGTAACTCCCACCAGGTCCAACTTTGTCCTATATCCAAGGAAAGACTCAGCCCCCAGACCCACCTAGCAAGGGTGTTTCTCACCTGTGTTGTCCCCCGCCCCCAGAGAAAGGTTGGGAGTAGGGAAGGGGAGAGGAAGCAGAGGTTCGGGAAGGCATTGACAGGTTCTCATCTTTTGAGCTGCTAGAACTTCTATGCTGAGGAATGCTATCTCTGTTAAATTTAGCTGGCCCATGATGTTCCTGAAATAGTGTCCAATTTGTTTTAATCTGAAGGGAGAACCTTATGCTGTAGATAAGGCAATAGGAATTGTAAAAACAAACAGGAATAAATAATACAGTTCCCATAGCATTGTGTACTCTGGTTAATCATCTGCTGCATTATAAGTTAATGAGTACGGGAGCCACATATGGTTCTTAGTAGAGTTTGTTAAATGAATGGGTGGATTTGCCTCCATCTCCAGCCCCAATATGGATGTTGCAGGCCCAGGCTAGTAGCAGCATGTTTTTTTGTTTAGTTTTGTGTTGATTTTGTTTTGGTTTTTGTTTTGTTTTGGTAGGGGGGCCTAGGGATTGAGTACAGAGCCTTTGCACTTAGCTGCACCCTCAGCTCCCTTTTTATTTTGAGACAAGATCTCACTAGGTTGCCCAGGATGGCCTCAAACTTGTGATCCTCCTGCCTCAGCTGACCATCAAAAGGTCTGGTCCAGTGAAATCAAGCTGAGGCACACCTAATGGGGTTTCCTACTCTTCTTTACTGTCTTGAGGATTCTGTATCACTTTGAAATAAGTCAGGGGCAGGCCAGTAGGGTCTCCTCTTCTTTACAGTTTCCAGACCTGAGCTCAACAGAATGTGTGGTTGGACTGGCAGCTGGCCAGGCCCAGAGCAATCCTTTCAGGGACAGACCTGACTTACCCACTGCCCTAGAGGCATGGACACGGCTATAGAGGCTCCAGACACAGTGGCTAGACAAAGCAATTATAGAATTAGATAGATCTAGGCTCCGATTGGGCTCTGATACCAATCATGTGGCTTTGACAAGTTGTTTAACCTCACAGATCTCAGTTTCCACACCTGTGAAAAGGGACACTACTAAAGATGCTTGCCAGGGAACCTAGGCTTGGATGCTGTTCCGAGGGCATCACAGGCAAGGTTCCATCAGAAGCAGCTCAGTCCCTCTGAAAGGTGATGCGCACTTAGTCCCTGCAAACCCAGTAGGAACAGATCTGGGGGAAAACTCATCTGCAGGAAGTTGACTGAATTCTGAGGATGCTATGGGAACTCCCAGGTAGGTCAATTCCCTAGGAAAATCCAAAAGGCTGGGAGTAGAATCATATGGGAAGGAGTAGAGAAAAAACAAATCCCAGGATTGAGAGGGGCAAGGTGCTCTCTACCAGCCAGGCAAAGGAGGGTGGTCTCTGAGGACAGCCGGTGTTCCGGTGCTGGGAAATTCCAAAAGCCTGGGGCCACGGTACTCTTGACTCAAGCCTGCCTGTTTTCCTCCAGCTGGGTCAGCTCGTTCCAAGAACATTTATTGATGCCTATCGGGCCAAGTCCTGTGATGATGGGCCCTGGCCGACGAGGTGAGTCAGCCATGGCGCCGCCCCAGGTGATCCTTGTTTCTTGATCAAGGTTACCAGATCATCTGCACAAGTCGTTCGGCAGTACTAAGTCTATAAAGTACCTCAGCCCCCACGGTGCGGCCCCACGTCGTTCAAAGTGTGCTCTATGAATGGTCCTCTCTGAAGCTACGGGCGAAGGCGGGCAGCGCTAAGGGGTCAAGAACAAGAGTGTGCAGGTCTGTACCACCGCTGCTCTTCTCACAAGCTGTATTCAAGACAAGGCTAATCCAAGTGAGGGCCTAGTAGCTGGCAAGGCGGTCTGCCAATTCTCGGGGCCATCACGCAGCAGGGCAAGGAAGAAGGTCCACAGGTCGCGCGCAGTCGGAGCTGGAAGCGCTATGCTGCTTCCTCAAGTACAAAAGGGGACGCTCAGCCTTGCTTTCCAGCTGCCTAGGCCAAGGAGCTAACGGAGGCCCAGCCCTTGCCTTTCCCCGGACACCAGAATACCAACACCGGGGTTTCCATCGAGCAGCGCCACCACACCCAGTTCCCATCAGCCTTCGGCGTGTCTCGGACCCGGACTGGTCAGGGTGGGAGCGCCCGGCCGGCCGCTCCCTGCGCTCTGGGCTGGGCTTCAGCCCACGTGCGCCCGCAGCAGCCGCGTTGACAGCCGGCCCCACCAGGGCGGGCGGACACGGGAATGGGCTCCGCGCCGCACTGCTATTGGCCGTATGTCTCGAGCCCAGGGCGGGGCCTTGTCTCCGGCTGGCCTATCATTGGCCGCTCGGGCGGTGGGGGCGTTTCCCAGTCAGGGCCAGTGCACCCAGCAGAGCGGCGAGGGCCGGGCCGGCTAAGCCTGCGCGGGGCTGCTTTGCTCGCACGCAGTTCCGCAGGCGGCCGGCGAGTACCCCGCGCTGCGCCGGCAGCGCGAGAGCAGGCAAGCGCCGAGCCGGGCGGGTAGCCCGCGAGACTCTCGGTAAGCGGGAGCGGCGCGCTCGGGAGGGGGCGAGGAGGGAGGGTCAGGTGCGCCCGCATCTCCGGCGCGGCCCGCGGAGCACCGAGCGGGTGCGGACCGAGCCTCCGAACCAGCCGGACCTAAGGGCAGCCTCCCGCCGGAGCCCGGAGCTGCTCACCCCGCCCTCCAACGCCCGAACCTGCAGTCCTAACCCTAGAGGGTGGGCGCGACGCGCGAGCTGTGTCGCCAGCCCCGGGCAGAAGCCGTCCCCAGACTTCGTCCCCAGGGGTCGGCTCCGTCCCTATCCCTTCCCTCCTTAATAACAGGAAGTCAAGTTGGCCAAATGTCAGTGGCCCGGCCGGCTGCGGCCGCGACCCTGGCTGGGTCGCCGCGTGTCCTCTTGCGGTGCCCGGCCCAGGCCCGGCCGGGAGGAGAGGTGGGGTCGCGCCCTCCAGAGCCGCCAGTGGGGTTAACGCTGGCCCGGGCTGGCCTCTCCGGCAGAGCCGGGAACGGCCTTTACTGGATGGGGAAGAGGCGTGTTGAAACCAGAGTAAACGCGCTGTCTCCTTCCACATTGTTTATTCTGGGGCCTGCGTTCTCAAAGCGGAAAGAGCGTCCTCTCGCAAGCTCTGGGGCCCCGCGAGCCTGTGGGCCTGCGCGCCTCTTGCTGTCAGTCCGGCCTCAGGACCAGGCTCTGCCGTGGTTTGGATGAAGGATGCAGGCACTCAACCAGCCCCTGGTGGGCGAGTCTGGGTGGGGGAGCCAGCAGCTAGCTGGCTGTTTTTTGTGACTGTGTTCTTAGTCTCTTGTGACCTCTCTGTGTCCCCTGTGTCAGTCCCAGGGGCAGTGGATCCAAGCAGCAAACCTGGGGTCCCCAGGGCAGTCTAGCTGCTGTCCTGGAGACTTTAATTGCAGTAAGAACTGGGCTTCTTCAGGAGCCAGAGGATGGGTTTCTTTAGTGTCTCCTGGGCGGTGTGGGTCCTGCCTTGTGGCACTTTCGTAGTGATTTCATGGTTGCTTTCCAAAGAGTCTCAGTTTGGTCTCCTTGCTTAGAGATGGGGAAGACGAAAGTGTCCGTGCCCAGGTGGGTTCCCTTCCTGCTGCTCTGCAGCTGTAGAGAGACAGTGGGTGGCCCCAGTGTGGGCTGCCAGGGGCTTCCTGGCCTCTGTAAGATTCTGTGCACAGGATATAAGGAGGTGCTTTGGCAGAGTTAGCCCACGCACGCTGTTCGACCTGCAAACTGTAGGTCGCTCTGTGTGATGGGGGTGACTGTTGGCGTCTGGGTGCTATTTTAGGGGAAGCCTTCTTCCACCACTGACTTGACTTCACTTCTGAGAGTTGCCTTTTCTAATCATTTAAAAGGGTATTGTTAGTTGACCTTAGACTGATTCTAGTTTTATGGAGTTTTTTGAGCATGTCTTTATAACAATATACCACTTTTACCCCTGCCCCTTCTTTCTGTGAGCCCAGGGTTTTCTGTTCATCCCTTCTTCCGAAAGAAAATCATGATTAGCCCAATACCAGTCAATTAAATTTTACTGTAACTTGGCCTAAGGACTACGGTTGGCTGTGTGTCTGTGGAGGCCCAAGCCTGGAAGCCTCAGGGAGCACCCCGATAGTCCCCATTCCTTTTGTGCCTATGATTGAGGTCTATCCCTGTCCTCTCCACCCGTGTCCAGACCCCCTCCTGGGTTTTCCTCCCGGTTGTGGCCCTGTTCCCTCACTGCCCACTGCTGAAGAGCAGAAGTCCTGCTTTCTCATTGGTGAGCTTGGCTCTGTCTGCAGAGGCGGAGGTGTGGGGGACATAAGATTTGGGCTGAGCATTGCTGATCTTAGAAGCTCTCAGAGGACTAACAAGAGCCACTTTACTGTTCATCGTGCTGTGACTTTTCATTCTTTATGTGGTAATATAAATAATAAATATAAATATAAATGCTTTATATTCTAATAGTAGAGCCCCGTATTAGCCCCCAAAGAAGGAGGTGGGGCTCTCCCCATTTCACAGATGGGGACACTGAGACTTGAAAAGGTTTCAGCTTGCCCCCAATGCACAGCTAGGAAAATTGGAGAGGATTTCTGCCGTGGTCTGTTGGGGTCAGGAGAGAAGAAGACCGAACAAAACAGACCGGAAGCAAGAAAACCTTCTGGCTGTCTTCCGCACTCTGGAGCTTACCATAGACAGCTCCTCTACTGCACATGCAATTCCCTGCCTTCTGTTCTAATTATGTGTGTATACTTATTACGGCTCCTCACCCCCCTACAGAATGCCACTTCAAACACTCATAAACCTGGTGGATTTATTTTCTCATTCTTACAAATCCTCCTTGTTCTTTGCTGTGTACTCACTTAGCCTTTTGTACCAGTCCCCGATAGGGTACCTAACAAGATGTACTATGTACTCTATTAAAAAACATTACCAACATCTCCGAACACACAAAGTCAGAACAGCATGATGAGCGCCATACACTCATTACTCTGCTTCAGCAGTCATCCCAGTTATGCCATGTCTCACTAGCTCTCTCTCCTTCACTCTTTCCTTTCCCTGTTCTTCCTGAAATACTTAAAAGGAATCTCTGGTGTCATGTCCTTTTCTTCTTGTATAATCTAGGATATGTCTCTTTTGCACACCACCAGTGCCATTATTGCACGTAACAGAATCAGCAGTCGTTCTCTGGTGTCACCTGTCCATACCCGGACACGCTTGGCTGTCAGAAATGCCCTTTATAGCTGGAGTCGGAGTCAGGATCCAGGGTGCCAGCTGCATTTGGCTGTTAGTCCTTTTGTCCCTGTCATAACTGGGAGAAGCTCCCCTCTGTGTGTCGGCAGTTACCTCCATTTTCGGTGCCCATCTTCCCGGGAACCCCAGCAAGACTCAGGAGATGAGTCTGTCTTGTCGTGCTGGCGCTTTGCCGGATCCATGGTGCCGAGTCCTGTGTGTGGGATGTGACAGAGGCTCAGCGAGCGTCTGCCGGGTTGTATCATAGCGGCTCACATGCGATATTCCCTCTGCAAGTGTCTACTGCTAAACATCCTGGAATTGTAGAAGACTGCTCTGGTCCATGGTAGAAGCCCAGACGGTCACGTTTGTGTCCTGATCAGCACCTGCCCTAAGCAGATCGCATGTGGGCTGAGGGGACTGACATTCCACCCAGGCTTTGAGTTCCGCCTGTCAAAACCACACTGTGACGCAGACACTGGGAGCCTGGAGAGCCCCACACACCTCACCCTGCTCCCTCCGAGCGGTGCTTCGTCCCTGTACTTCCTCGAGCCCCCTCTCACCTGCCCCACACTTGCGCACAGTGGCCTTTGCCACTCACTGTCCCTCTGCAGCTGGAACAGGCTGTGACCCGAGGCGAACAGGTAGGACCCGCTGGCGTCCCGTCAGAATGTGCGCTGTAGAGACAGCCAGCCTCACCACGGGCACCTTTGTGGGCCACTCCGTGAAGGAGACCAGAAGCCCCAACCCGTGTTCGTGGTGCACTTCCCCCTGCATACCGGGCCAGCTCTCCTTCTGGTGCTGGCGGGGAGATGGCTTCTTACCTACCAGTGAGGCCCCTTCCTGCAACAGACCTCAAAACGAAGAGCTGGCTCTTGTTTTGTTGTTTTTTGTTTTTTGTTTTTTTAAACACAGCCTTTTCCACTGGGAAGAAGTGTAACAAAATTTTAAATCTCTCTGGATGACAGCAGTGAGCTGATTTTTTCTCCTTTATTATTTAGTTTTTAGTATTTTTTTCCAAAATTTTTGTCATAGGCATATTTTATTTTTATAGTAGAAAATCCAAATATCTATCTATCATTTATCGTCTACCTGTCTATCTCTTGAAAAAGAGGACTCCAGCCAGGCTTGGTGGTGCATACCTGAAATGGCAGCTACTGTGAAGGCTGAGGCAAGGTGATTCTAAGTTCAAAGCCAGTCTGGGCAACTTAGTGAAACCCTGTTCTAAAATAAAATTTCAAAAGAGATGGGGATGAAGCTTAGCGCTCCCTAAGTTCAATCCCCAGTACTGGGGAAGAGGAAAGAAGGGGGTGTGGCTGTGGGTATAGCTCAGAGGTAGAGCACTTGCCTAGCACGTACAAGCCCCTCAGATTCCCAGTGTCACGGATTAAATACATTGACTCCACCTGCTTTGGAGGGGGGTAGACAAAACTAATCAGGCATGAATCTGGTGCACCCATGTGTGTAAGAGCCCCAGGGCTACCGGGCCGTGGACGTATGCTTCGATATGTGTTTAAAAGAACATCCCCGGAGTCTTTAAAAGTTAGAAAACAGGAAAGCTGGGCCTTAGGAGATGAGCAGATCTGACAGACTGAAGCCTTGCCTGCTCTCCCATTCCTCCCCTTCACGCCCTCCTGAGAATTTGGCTCTGCTGTCCCCCCGGAGCAGTCTTTCTAATGCCAGGCTCTCGATCATGAGCTTGTTGTTTGGGGAGGTTGAACCACCGGAGAGGACGGAACAACCCGTGTGTTAGACACAGCAGGCAGGGCCAAGGTCCTGCTTCTGGCAGCCTGTGGCGTCCTTGTGGGAGATGCCTGATGGACAGATGCCCTGCTCCCTCACTTCGGGTGCCCCGGCTGCCCCTCCACCAACTTCTCTTTCCCTCTCTGCACCTCCCTGAAGTAGAAAGCATGACTGGTGGTGCTGATAAGGTGCTGCCGTCGCCAGCCCCCAGGATCTGGGCTCAGGAATTCACGCTGGTGAGAAGAGAGGTGACGTGGGCCCTCTGCTCACAAACACACCTTCCTTGCAAGACAGGGTCCACCGTGGGGGAGATGGTTCCTTCTCTGTTGGCTGTTGGGCATAGCCATCCTCGGGTCCCACATGCAGAGCCTTTGTGACAGCCAGAGTAGCATGGTCTCTGACATGCTCTCTACCTGCCCATGAATCCAGGCGTTACTTCTGTCCCTCGCTTGGTGGGCCCTGGCAGGGAGCTGTGTGTGTGTGGACAGCGCTGTGATTGTAGGCTTAGACTTTTAGTGTGTGTTTTAATTGAACTATGATTTCTCTCCCTCGGGGTCAGGAT